GGGGGGGGGGGGGGGGGAGACCTGTCCTAAACTTCTCTGGAACGAACAGGCAACGCTGTTCCAGCTGTGATCCAGCCAAATTTCTCTCTAACCTGATGGCAGTCTGCCAACACAAGCATCCCCTAACAAAGCGGATCTCACTTGCAGACTAAACAGATCCTGCACACCAGGAAAAAGAAGTAGTTTGAAAGAGAAGACATATTTCCCTGCGGCACCTACACGCTATTGCCCCGAACTGTTCTTCCAATTCAGCTGAATATTATACATATGTATGCATATATAATAGTTAGTTAAAGTTACTTATGTCATTGTAGATTATATGGTAGATGTGTCTGTTTGTGTTCTGAAGTGCAATAACGTTGTTTGGGTATTGACTTGAAAGCCCTACCGAAAATATCCAACAGTACAGCCCAGAAAACAGTAAACAGACCAAATCCTAGTAAATACTCTCTGGATTCATAATACAACAATTTTCAAGCGTTTTAAGTATAAATAATTATGTTGCATAAGTGAAAATAATTTATGCAATCTTTAATCTCTTTCTCTCTGGAGAGAGCAATGACTGATGTTTAAGATAATGTTATTTCTGTCATACGTCAATTTTGAAAACTGAAAACTGTTGCCATTTTCTGGGTAAATAGACCATACTGCAATTTCAGGCCACATATTAGAGGTCTATTTGCTTAGATGATGTTAGATTCGCTAGTAAACTGTTGTTTCTGAAGACCAGATATTTAAAAAAATTTAGTGGACTAAGAAAAACAAAATGGAAAGAAACCAATTAGTGATTAATGTAGGGTGACCCAAGACAGCCACCCTTAGGTTAATCTGTCTGACTGGCATGCAAGCTGAACGCAGCTCGAAGCCAACTTAGGAAACTCTGAAACAAAAATTCCCATGTAAATGAAAAGCAGATTGTTTTGAAAAAATATATATAGCTGAGTAAACAGGAATATTTGGTTACTGGCGAGCAAAAGGACATTTTCATACACTTGTCTGTTTGACACTGGGGAGCTGTCCCAGAAAACTCTCTGTGAAATTATTCCAATTCTGTACGCCCTCGGGGTAGCGTCACTGAACACAGAAATTATGTTCCTTGACTTATAATCAATATCAATGATTCCCAAATTTGGCAAATGGGACCAAAGAGCAGTGGGGTATCTAGCTTCACGTATATATACGCATTAAAGAAAACTGAATCTGCTGAACAGCTGAATCTATGTGAACCAAGAATTAAGATTCATTTCTTACAGTTTGGATTTTAAGTATAGAAATGCGGGATCATACCCCGTGGCACCGTTGTCTCACATCACTCCTAGCTACAAAATATTCACGGAATTTGCACATTCCCTGCAGGAGTCCATGAGTTTTCTTCAGTTTCCTCACTGTCACTGCACCACTGCATGGGTGAATCAGCTGTACCGAAATTGTACCCTGTCTATATGTCCCGTCGAGGGTGTGTGCCCACTCGCCCCATCACAGTGTCTGCATCACTGTGATACACTGTGATCAGATTTAGCACGACTCTTAAGCAGACACAATGTAAAGATTTCTTCGGAATATAAACAAAAATACTAGCACTTTGTAAAGAGACTAAGACAAATGCAGACCATTAAACTGGGGCTCAGATATTCACCACAAAGCTTTGAAACGGCCTGTGGATGTTTATAAGCATGATCTGGAATACACTTCATAAATTATTTATTCAGTTTGGTACGGTTGTCCAAAATTTCTTGGTAAAAGCATAAAATCAATTCAGAAATGTCCCTCCCTGGCCTGTCCTGATCTCATATGATCTATGGAGGCTTCAGTAACTTTTGTCTGCTGTGGCACGACACCTACATTAGCCACCAGTTTGGGTCTGTATGCAGTCCCACCCCTAGAATGCGTTCCAGGATTAATTCATTCGCTGCTGTCTGCCAAGGCTCAGGAAGAACTTAATTCACAACAGAACGTCCTCTTCTCGTTTGGACCTCCCCACCATTGTCTGGGATACAAAGAGCAACTTGTTACCACTGTACTGCGGAAACGTCTCGACTGCACAAAAATAAACTCGAGCAATTACAGATAATTCTCTGTCATTCTGTATCATTATGTATTGCATGACTCCCCCCAACTTTAAAAAAAAAATATTGGTTCAGTGTGTACATTGTGAATTGACTGGACATGTTGAGGTACTGTAAATAAACATTTTTGTAAAAATGTTTGACTGCCTGTTTTGAAGTTTATGACAATAATGTGCATTTATTGTAACCTACAACTGAAAAATTTAAGTATAATAATGGGGGTAAAAAAAAATCATCCAGTGATCAACTGCTTACCCAGAAGTCAGTGTGGGAGCCAACCGTAAGAAGTACGGAACATAAGACAATCTCTGTTCCTGAGATACTAGGTACATGGTTTAGGACTGCATGTGGGAACCGGAGAACCTGCAAGAAACCTGCACAATCCAGAGAGAGAATACAGACTCCACACACAGGGCAGGGCTGCGATTCAGAGCCAGGATTCAAACCCGTGACCCTGCAGCAGCCAGACGACAATGCGATTCATTGACCCATGCGTGAGGAGGATCGCTCTTGTTAATAAGAACACAAGCACAATTCAAAAGATTTAAGTGAAACTTTTTATATTTCACATTCGATAAAGGATAAGCCAGTGTCACCCCATAAATGCAACAAAATCCACCAGATACCATTACATACAGTCTTAGGTGGTCAAAGGAAATGATTAAGGCTATTTTTCTGTTTAATATTTTTTTTTCTGTTTCTGCATTTGCTCAGTAAAAAAACATAATTTATTATAATATATGTAAATTAACATTAACACAATAAAAATATCTATAAGAATTTCTTCTTTTCTCCAAAATCTGATATCTCCTTGGATGGCTAGATGAACAGCGCTTCAGTTCCCAAACCTCTCCTCAGGGGCACCTCAGCCGTTCCATGTGTTTGTAAAATTTCTCCATCAATTTGATTAATAAATGAACTTATTTAGTTAAACACATTAATAAGGTATTGATTAGCCAAACAAGGTGGGGTTGTGATTGAGTAAACAAATACATGAGTATATTGGAAGGTCACTGGAAATACCGGGATGATTTTAGCGGAGGGTTTGAAATGGCTAAGCTGACACACTTTGACAGGCATAAAATCATAGTTTTACACCAACATGAAGATCATTTAAATATAATTTTCTTTGACTGCCTAAAGACTTTTGCACATATATGTACATACACAAAGCATACATGTATTCCAATTTAAATCTGTAATAAATAACACAGACTTTGGTGCGTCAATCATCACAAACAGACCAGTGCAGAAGAACATCTGTCATTTAAACAATAGAAATGAACCGTACGCAGCACTGCATTTCAGTGAATGGTAAACTCACAGATAACAGACAAGCATTAGGTAATGCATTGTTGAGGCGTGACATCGCCTAAGTTTTCCCAAATTAGTCATCTCTAACACTGACCAGCCACCATCCGCTGGAGGAATTTGTTTTCACAGATCCAGGTCAGCAATGTTCAAGCCTTAACACTGACCATACTCACCGAAAGCAATAACAGGCGATTCATCTACATACAGACATGAGAAGCATCACAGTGAATTACTTCTTGGTTAATGAAGTACTGAACAGGGCAGAGATCCTATCCATACAGTGGATACTGCCAGCAAAAACAGGGTCTGATCGGAGCCTCGAAACATAGGTGGTGGGAGCACGGGGCACAAGAGGAGCTTCTGTTGGCAGAATGGAAGTGGCAAAGTGAGATTTAGTAATAGAGGATGTACCATTTGCCAGTTTTCTGGGGGTAGAAAGCATGCAACAGTAACACGGCTGTTACTCAAACAGCACTTTATAAATTATGGCGCTTCAAGGCTACGTCGTTCAGAAGTGTTCCACCTCACGGTCCGACTGAACAACGTGCATCAGGGATGTTTTTTCACTTAGTACAGTGTTGGAATGGCTGCAATGAGGCTGCCTTAGTTCTTACACTGTTACAGTGTAGTTCACCCTAAACTTACATACATACATACACACACACACACAAACATACATATACATATTTTATTTATATATGTATATATAGAGGACTATGGTGATGTCCCCACAATTATATATGGAGGACATTATGGCCACCAAAACACAACATATGGATGACAAAAAACAGATAAAAATCTCAGTTATTATGACATAAACTGCTTCCCTCTCCCAAAATTGAATTTGCTTCCATTCATCCCCCCAATAAACATACTGTTGTACTTAAATTATGAAGCTGCATTCCCCTCAATCTCAAACTCTCCCCTGCACCACTGCATGTGCTAATCCCCTGATTAAAGGAATGGCTTTGGGGAAAAGCATTACTCACTACTGCTTCTTTCAGTAGTAAAAAAGTAAGACCTCATTCCTCCCCCAAGTACCCAACCATTTTATCAATTAGAAGACCAAACCGTGAACCTCATCTTCTGTTTGTTGCCATGAGCAACTAATGCCCAGCCATTTATAGACTGGTGGGTGGGGGGGGCTAATGGTGAGGATGAGGTAATTTCCCCGTCAGACAATCGCCTTGGTAAAAGCATGAGTCACGCGGACAGATTCAAGTGGAAAAGCCTTACGGGGGTCATAGGTAATGACAGAATCGCCTCAGATAGACTTTACAAAATCTTACGAAACAGTTCAGATTTGAGCAGATGCACGACTCCATCTCCGAGCACAGGGTGCAGGGATTTCGGTCTGGATGTCAGCTCTTCCTGCCTGGCGAGAAGGTCTGCAGGGAGAGTAAGGCCGGGTGCTGCACGTACACCATGCCGTCCTCCACTTTGACACGGTGCACCTGTTGCTGTGAAGGAACAGGTGATGTAACAAACAAATCCCTGATGGGTAAATGCAGTGCGCTAACTTCAGTGTTGCCGCAGAGAGAACTGTACTGACCAGCCCATCACATTCACGGAGAACATGAAGTACCAAACATGCAATCAATTTTTGGCACAATAATATGCACAGAACCAATGCCAAGGACTGTCATTCAGTCATTGAGCCAAATTTTCCTTTTGCCAGTGGACTTAATTTAAAGGTACATTAATTTAATTAATAACCAGTAAATTAAATTAATATGGCTTGTAATGACGGCTTCGGATACAAGCTGCTTTTATGGAGATACGAGTGCAGATCAAGGCACGCGTTTGTTATGTAAGCAAAAGCATATATAAATAGATGAAAAAGGCAGGGGGACCTGGAGATTATCGTTATACACACCTGTAATCCAGTCTGTGACGCCCCAGTACGAATATTAAAGTCATAATCATGCCAGGGACAGTAAACCCGGAGAATACCATCAGCATCCTCTATATCACCGTCACACAACGGTCCCCCTATGAAATACATAAAGCGATTAACGATCGGGAGCCACATAAACGTTATTTCACGGTTATTCCAGCAGGATGGCTTTTAAAGGTGCTACTTAAACTTTCCTGACCAAGCATGCTCAAAACAGACAGAATTTTTTTACACCGATCACTGGTTCGCATTGAATAAAAGAAAAAAAACAAGCACGTTTAATGTTAATACAGTGCCCGTATTATATATGGACATTCTGATTTAACAGGGACTGGCAATTTTAACGACGTGTTGGTCCGTGTAAATGGAAATGTTTAAAACGGATACGCCGTATAATCCAAATTGTAACACTGCCCCTGTGCCTCATGCATCTGTTCTGCATTATAGCTAATATACACCGTGAACTGACACTAACCGTGCACAGCGTATACATTTAAAGGTGAACTTGGCTGGGACGCACACAATTAAGTGCAATTTTTAGTGTTACTAAACGATGTTAGTTCTCAACTACGTATGCCGCGATCTGGGTTAAACAGACGTACTTTAAGTATTATCTAAATTCTGCCGAATTGCAAATCGGATTTAATATGGTGCACATTGTGCAATTCGCCTACCCGAGTGCGCGCAGCGGGCATCCATGGCGAAAAACTCGCCTTTCACATGGAAAAGACAAATATCCGAGTGACCGCCGAGAGACGAATATATCAGGCGGCACCTTTTCCCGGAGAGCTCGCCGGCCGGGCCGATCAGCCTCCATGAATCAGCCTCCGGGCTGCTCTCCTTCGCTTCATCCGCATCCATAAACGCGATATATTAGCCACGTCCTCGCTTAATATCAAGGTTTTGCACATTCAGTGAGTTAAACAAAAAAAACGTGGAATATTTTGCGGTGACTTATCACAGGATCAGGAGAACAGAGCACAGCATTGAACATCTATCACAATAAGATCTGTGACATTTTTAATCATAAAAGAATGTGCTGTGGCATTAACCTTTTAAATATAGGCTTATTTCCATGGACGGAGTATTGGTTAAATGTACATTTAGATTTTGTAAAAAAAAAAAATAGCTACCTCGGGTTTGGTAAAACCGGATTCGGCGTTAAATGTTTTTTCTTCTATATATTCTCATATAAAAGAGGGCTTTTAAATTCTTGATTATTGGTACTTTGAGGAAAAAAATAGTTTTTTTTAATGTCTTTTACTGCCACGTCGCAATAACTACATTCAGAGTGACAAGCAAGAGGACGGCCAAAAACTATATCACACTGCAATGACAAAAGTCAATTAAAACTATATTTATCACTGCATGTACCAGCAGCTAATAGAAGGATGCCTATTTATACAGTACTCTATAATCTTGTACTTTTCTCCCAGGTTGGCCCGTACACCATCGCGTTTCATTTGCGTCCATAGCTTAAAATAGAGCTTCTTTCCATTCGTCCTCATAACCAATTGTGTCCCTATGAAAGCAAGTAGCCAAGGCCAGCTTAATATTATGTTGTGTTGTTATCCTTTACAAATATAGCCAGAGGAGACGTTCGAGAGCGTATAATATTTGTATGACAAATATAACAAATGAATACTAAATAAGATTAATAATATCAGCAATCATTTTGACATCACAAATAATACATTACTAATGAAAACCGTATTTTACCATATTAGAGATGTTTTCATATGTTTAATGAAATTACTTCTTCCAAATCAAAATCCAGCACTGACAATTTTCCAAAACAATGCTATCCATCACAGGGTGCACAGGGGGGCATATTTGAACAAAATAATGTAAAACAGAAGTAAACATGTAATAAGATAACAAGCTATTCATGACTTATGTACATGTTTGTGTTTTAATTAGTGGCTCGTTGACTACTGCAGGTTATATTCATCCATCGACCCATCCATCCATCCATCCATCCATCTGACTGCTTACTCAACAGAGTCACATGGCACCCCAGGAGACACACAGCACAAATCGGGGAACACCCTGGATGGAATGCCAGTCACTGACATGGGGCACGCACACACATGCACACATCTGTAACCGTATCTTTGTGGGGACTGTCCAATCATTTCTATGGGAAAACCCTAATCCCAGCAATAACAATCATTTTAACTATTAATAATTTTTATTAAAAATTCAATTATCCAGGGATAGAGGTTTGATTCCTGTTTGTGGAGCTTGCATGTTCTCCACATTTGGTGTGTTTCCAAAGACATGCAGTTAGCTAAACTGGAATCTCATCATCTGTATCTGATATAAGCTAAAATATAAGCTTCTCCCCTGTCTTTTAGGTAAACCTTGCAGTCCCCTCTGCAGATGCAAGACCCATCATATTTCCTGGCAGTGGCCTGTTTACTAAGCGCAAAATGCCTGTGTTTTGTATTTGTATTGTGTTTGTATTTGTATTTGATTCTTAACCCCAAAAGCCCTAATAACATCCTTATTGTGTCCTCCCTTTTTAAGACAGTCCATCCATCCATTCATCCATCTTCTCTACCCACTTGTCCTATGCAGGGTCGTGGGGGTCCAGAGTCTATCCAGGAAGCTGCAGGCACAAAGCAGGGAATAACCCAGGATGGGGCGCCAACCCGTCGCAGTTGAAGTCTTACCCTACTGTATAATTCTTATTTTATGCCTAGTGCAACACCAAAATGATTTCTTTAACATCCTTTTTTTAAATATACACTTGAGGACATTTGTAAAAAGCACTGAACACTGAAGATAAACGTAGCTTATTGCTACTATGAGGAAAATGGGGGATCGTGCTGATGTCAGGACTTTTGACTTGGATGTCAGCGTAAGCCAGTTCTTTGTTTAACTGGTGGGAAAATTATAACGAATGGAAGGAATTCACCAGTTACCGCTCTCAAATGCATGTATGTTTAATAGCTTGAATTGACTACCGCTCTGTAGTCCACTCGTTTTGGCTTTTTATTCAATTACAAAGTGGCTCTGATTTACTAGGTACAAGGAATATTCCAGAGGCCAGATAGACAGACCGTTCATATTTCTCACATCCTATAATAATGGCCATCCACTCTTGAGCTCCAGTCAATGCCAACAGGCAACAGGCCAGAAGTGGACCTAGATTTAATATAAATGGTGAATCATTTTAAAGAAGAGGAGATGTTTCACTGCATTACGTTTAATTAAAGCACTGTACACGTGCAACAGGCTACAGACCAAAGCTGAAGTTGGTCCAGTGATGCCTAGATATATAAATCATCTTTTTTCATAAGTTGTTTAATCAATTTCAGTGGCAGTGAAAAGAAGATAGATCTACAGATCTAGAGGTGTTAGGGTTTATAATAGACTTTGTAAGACCAGCAAATCTGTATCCAAAATCTATCCCGTGACATAAATTGGAAAGACTAGGAATCATAACTACCAGACTACTAAAAAGTGAGGGGTCCACCACCTTATGGGCTGTGTGCCAATGGGACGGCCATCGTTGCCAGCAGAAATGTGTGAGCATCAACTGTAGGTGAATACAGCCTAATTGTAGGAAGCATTACTACTGGAAATACTGTAACTCAAAGGTAGGGCAGAACATCTTGAAAACACAATCATGTTCTAGCTATTCTGGCAGTTGTGGTCAAGTGGAGACTTATTTTCATGAAAGTTCTTCCCCTGGAAAAGCTGAGTGCTCTGCTGCCACGACATGAACATTTTGAAAAGATTTCTGGCTACCAGGGAGACCTGGGCTCATTCATCACCCGCTTCCTTAGGTTACCCAGAACACAACAGACTTCCCAGGAACCGTCCTCCAAGGGCCTCTAACTCACTTGACAATTGTAGACAAAAGGACCATCCAGAAATGTGGTTTTCATTAAAACAGGAATGAAGACCAGGTAAATGCTTATATCAGCACCTAGCCCTCCAACAAGGCAAGGATCCTACCCTGTTTTATACTTTTCCTCGTTCAGCATAGGTGAGAAAAGCAGCCGTAGAGAAGCCTGACTTTAACAAAACGTGTTTATGAGCTGTCCTTCTGTGGCAGCATGACTAGAGGAACACGCTCTAATCCTTCAACACCACTTGCATCATTCCCAGAATTCTCCCAGAATCCCCTTGGATGCAGAGAAAACACGAGAGGAAACGAAGCCCAGCGTGAACCTCTCTGTTAACTACGGCCCTCCCTTTGAAAACACATCACACATGGAGGAGGGTTCAGTCTCTGTCCAGTCGTGCTCTTTTGATTTAAAGCTTCAATTTGTTTTGGATGAAAATATAGTCTACCATTAAGGGATTAAATCATAGGTCCTCCACTGTTTATAGACATGCCTGTGCTACAATTTACTTCAATCCACAGTTTAATGTAACCCTAACTGTTTACAGAACTGAGTGACAATAAAGTTTCCTTTGAGGCAGCGTCATAGCTCACCACACCGTATACGTCACGGATCTTTGGCGGCAAACGATTTATAGTGTAAAGCATGTTTTAATTTTAGTAATGATTTTACTCTCTCCCATTTATGGTGTCCATGCAAGTCTAATAAACTTGGAAAAACTGATTTTTGAAAGCTTGGGACAACAAAATTCGAATAGTTTATATGTTATTTTAGAAATCACGCAATAAACGGCCCAGCACTGTTTAAAAATCAGTGATAAATATGTGGCTGTGATGATTTACCTTGAAGTAGTCATAAAAAATAAATACATACAATTAATATCTAGAGAAGTTGTAGCACCAAATGTACAACATCCATCCAAGCACTTATCCAGTAGATGTTTGTAAGGAACCTGAATAATTTAATTTATATTGAAATTGTATAAAAAAATGACAGACATCAATCACACTTAGCCACATGTGTTGGTGTTGTAGGAGGACAACCGAGAGGAAACCCAGACAAAGTATGAGGCTTCAGCTCTGGGGTTGGTATGAGAATAGTCCCAAAGTAGCCAGTCAGTGACTCGTCAGGCTATCTGCTCAAAGTCAGCAGAGCAACGATCTTAAAGACCGGCCTCATCACAATAAGCAGTGTTACAGGGGAAATAAAACATCCCTCTTTGTCTAAATTATAGACATTTATAATAAACCTGTTCATTAAAGTCCACATATTGCATGTTTCTTTTAGGTGTCCAAATAAAAGTTTCTAACAGTATATTCATTTATCATGATGCTTAGGTATATAGTTCCCAGACACCATTGTCCAAAGTGGCTGCCTTACTAAAGGGTCCAGCCATGACATCATTATTCCACTGGCTATGGGATTTGAACCCACAACCTTCTGACCGTAGACACAGAGCCCTAACCCACTGAGCTTCAATCCACCCCCGTTTATATGACCATTCATTTTGGTTTTGAGAATCCACAGTCTGATGAGTTTAGTTGTATGTGAGGCAACAGTGACACCGAATCAATAACCCTGAAATACTATTAATAATAATAATATTATTTGTTTTAATAATATAATAATATACAGTACGGTGCAAAACTCTTTCAAAGAAAATGATGTATAAATGATCTTCATGTTGGTATAAAATTACGATTTTTATGTCTGTCAAAGTGTGTCAGCTTAGCCATTTGAAAACCTCTCCTAAAATCACCCCAGTATTTGCAGAAACCATCGAATGTGTCTGTATTTTTTTTTTTACTCAACCACAAGCATACCATATTGGGCTAATCAATTCCTCATCGAGTAATTTAACTAATTAAAATAATGAATTAATTGAGCTGCTGGTAAAATTTAACAAACACATGGAATGGCTGAGGTGCCCCCGAGGTTTGGGAACTGAAGCGACGTTCGTCTAGCCATCCGACAAGATCCCGGTGATGTTTTGGAGAACAGAAGAAATTCCTGTTAGTTTCTATTGTGCTGTTAATTTGCATGTTCTGATGTTAAATTGTGTTTTTTCTGAGCCAATATACACTTACTACATAAATAAATAGCTTTAAACTTTGATTACCTCAGACTTACACAGTTATGTATAATAAAAGGAAAAGTAGTGGGAAGTAAATGTACTTTTTAACTTTACAAATTTCAAAAACTGACGTGATGCAAAAAAATGAGCTTTTGGACAAGAGGTCTACAGGCTCCTGTAGAAGCTGGGAAGATGGTATCTGGGGTAACGTAATAAGTGTCCACATCTTTCATGGAGGCTCTGCTGAAGTGATCAGACGTGAGCACATTCCTGATTCATCATCTCATCACTCATAATTATCTCCAGACCCAAGGCCGTGAGTTCTGCCCGGCAGCGCGATCTGGCGTCTCCGTCTCAGCTGAGGGTCTTGGCCGGATCCTCCAATGGGAGGCTGGTGAAGGACTCTGTCTGCGCCGTGGAAACAGGAAAACTCTGAGCTACAAACGGAGCCGGAGAGTAGGCAGGCTGGCAAACGAAGCCTCGGGATCCGATACCAAACGACATTCACATCCGTCTCACTGATCACTGGCCACCAAAGCCTTTCTGTGGCAGGTTCTGCGG